AGAGACACAGCGAGAGAGGGAACACAAGCAGGGGGAGTGGGAGAGGGAGAAGCAGGCTTCCCGCTGAGCAGGGAGCCCGATGCAGGGCTTGATCCCATCATGACCTGAGCCGAAGGCAGACGCTTAATGACTGAGCCACTCAGGCACTCCTCTATTCTTTTTTCATTCTAAGTCATGGTAACACCTTAGATCAAAGTGATCAACTTTCACTAAACAAATTTATTTACTAAGTTGTAACTTAGCATAACTGTTCTTCCCTGATGCAGCCATTGCACAGGAACACAGATCGGAGAACAATTAACAGATATAATAGTTATCTCTTATTCAGTAATCATTTTCAAAAACCTAATAGTTCAATTATGTCATTTTTTTTTTAAAGATTTTATTTATTTATTTGAGAGAGAGAGAGAGCATGAGAAGCAGGGAGGGTCAAAGGTAGAAGCAGACTCCCCGCTGAGCAGGGAGCCCGATGCGGGACTCAATCCCGGGACTCCAGGATCATGACCTGAGCCGAAGGCAGTTGCCCAACCAATTGAGACACCCAGGCACCCTCAATTATGTCATCTCTTAATCTCAGGTATCAGCATATAAATTTTATTCCAACACTGCTGCCTAATATGGAGTAAGGACTTGAAAGGGTTAAATAAAGTTTTCAGTTCAAATATCTTTTAATTAATGACCATTAGGGGGTTATATAAAATCAGGAACAACATGCTAAAGAAGAAATATATTTCTTAACTAGAAATGTAAGAAAAATAATCCATTCAGTAATTTACTGATTGGCCTTCCATACTACAGATATTAGTAAGAATCCAAGCTGGTACATGTTCTTTGGCCAAAGAAGAGAAGCTGTCATGCCCAGCAATAAATTCATTAATCAGAATATTTAGCTGCCTATCAAGGGCTTAAACCATTTGTTAACTTATTTAAGACTATGACTAAATTACAGGCATGTAAGAGCATTTGCTGAGCCAGGATCTCTTTAAGAAGCAAAATGTGCATAAATTACACATATTTGTGAAAATGCATACATCTATTATTAATTGGCTACCTTAGTTTTAAAACAGTAAAGGATTAGTGCTAAAAAAAAAAGTATTTAAAACTTCTAAAAATACTGCAAAGGTATAAAATGGAGAAGCTATGGCTCAATGTTCATATGGAAAGACTAAAAAGTTTAAATGCCAAAGAGCTCAATCCAAGATTATTATTATTATTGCATTATTATGCGATCTTAAACTATATTAGTAGAAACATGGTATGCAGGCACAGCAGGTTAATGGCATTCTTCAATTATACCACATCTGGAACATGAAAATCTGGTCTTAATATGTCATTTTAATTGAAAAAAAGGTGTTAGGTTGAATTCTTTCCAAAAGAGAAGCAAATCAAGAAAGAAATTCATTCACTCATTCAACAAATATGTACTAAATGCCTACTACATGCCAGATACTATTCTAGGGGCCAGGAACCCAATGTCTGACAAGCCAGAAAGCACTCCTGCTTTGATCAAGCTAATGCACAAGTGAGGGAAGACAGCTGAAGAACTGGACAGACACTGAAATGAATGTCAACTATTCACTAAACATGTGACTATTTGTCACTCATTAAACATTATTTGTGCAGATCAAACAGTACACACACACATAGCCCACAAGCTCTTAAAGAAAGCTAAAGTAATAAAATCCCTCCCAATGCTAAATCATATAAAAATAAAAAGAAACCTTAGGAGTACAGGGTAACTTTATTGAAATACCTGCAGTGCTGTCTTAATGGAAGAATCAGAAGTTTTCTATGGAGCTTCAGAAAAAGAGAGGATCAGTGATGAATGGGAGTGATAGGGAGATGAGTCCATCTTGGTTAAAAAAAAAAAAAAACCTTCAAACTGCTCTTTCCTACAAGAAATACATCCACCTCCAAAATACAGGATGGTTTATAAAGCCTTCTTACAGATTGAACTCCATGACTGCTACTTCTGCAGCAAGACAAAGGCTCAGGTTTATCAGAGACACGAATCATCTGAGGCAATGCAAAGGAGGACAACCCACTGAAATTGTCACGTAATACAGCAGTTCTCAGTTGGGGGCAACTGTCTCCCAGGGGAATGTGGAAACGTCTGGAGACATTTTTGGACTAGCAGGACTGGTACTACTGGCATGTAGTGGGTACAGGCTAGAAATGCTGCGAAGCATTCTACAACATATAAGATAGTCCCCTACAACGTTCCAAAATATCAATAGTGCCAAGGTTGAAAAACCCTGATGTCACATATTTAAACCATGTATTATGAATTTCTGTGTTTCCAGACTTGATGGCCACCTGTAGTGAGCTCTTTATTAGAAGTTTTCAAGCAAAAGCTACAAGACTGGCATCTCTGTGAGAGAAAGTGCCTTGTCTGTTTAGTTCGTCATGCTTCCCTGGTGTTAACACTATGCCTGGCAGCTTGTGGAAGAGCTCAATATTTCCACATTTGTTGTCTGACTATTCACTCACCAGGTTTAAGAGGGGTAAGATTCACCTTAAGGATCATCTAAATTATAAAATTTTATTATTCTAAAAAATTATTTCATATTAAATCCGTTCCTTTTTCTGATAAGAAGATCAGCCAGAAAGCTCTCCTTCAGCCACTACGTACAATTATATACATATGTATATATATACATATACATACATAACAAAAATTTCATACATATATAAATATATAAACAGCTTAAGAATGATTTTACAAACCAAATATATACTGAAACTTTCAGAGAATAATAGGAAATAAAAACTAAATTCTTATCATAGGTGTCCTTGGACCAAAAGAAGTCTAGTTATGGCTGTTATGAAATAACTTCCAGTAATACAATATGTTGCTCCTAGAATTGGTTAATAAGTAGAGCTAAGAAGTAAAATAACTTCTAAATGTAGGGAACATTTTCAGAATACCAATCAAATTTTGTCTTTATTCAAAAGAATAATTTAGTTTCATTTTCGTTCAGTTCTCATGCATAGAAAATTAAATTGCAGATGGCTGGTAAACTGTATATTGAAATTAAAGTGGAAGTGAATATTAACTTTCTAACAATTTTTATTGTTGGAGGCCATCAATTTTCTATAAGAAGTAGAAAACTTAAAACAAAAAGTCAAAGTTCTAATTTCCTAGAAGATACTTAGAATGAGTAATTGTTAAACAATTTATTTTAAGTCATTTTCCAAAACAACTTTTTAAATGTCTAGTTAAATGATATTTAAGTAACTATCATTTAAAATTTATCTCCAATTAACTTAGAGTGAAATTTTCAATTTTCTAAAAAATTAAGTAGTTGGTATCACAAAAAGTCAACTAAAAATAACTTTGCATTTTATTTATTTTACTTAATAAAACATAATTGCCATGTTCTTTGGCTCTAATTTTTTAGACTAAATAACCCCAAAATATATGGTATAGCAAACTTCTCTACTTGAACGTCTGAGATAAATAATCCTCAGAAACAATTACTGATGACTGCATAAGAGTGAACAATAACTGTATTAAACCAAAATATTTTATTGAGTAAGGGAACTTGGGAAAAGAGAAGCATGCCAGGGAGGAAGCTGTTTAAATTATAAATGTGAAGTGGCTAATTTACTAGATAAAACCAGTAGGTAAAAACATTCTACATTTTCATCTGAAATGACATGATGTGACTATAACAGTAACTACACACAGAAAAGTCAAAGAAACCAACGACTTTTCTGAGGTAGTTACAATGGGTCATACTTACAGCCACAGAAGCCCACTGCCATGCAAAACAGTGACTGGTTGGCATCTGATCATGTGAGCGACAGCAGCCAATAAAAACAGAAAATAAGCAGAAGACAAAGCACCACCAATCAATGTCAAGAGTTGCCATGTGTAATACTCTTGCTATACATAAATACCAAGAAATGACTTCTACAATCTGTAATTGTCTGTTTAAATTGGTTCCATATAAGTTTTAAAATTCCATTTAAGAATATTTATCTGTTAGATACCTAATTTAAAAACACTCCTTTTACTAAGTTTAAACACAAACTTCAATATCAAAGTGCCTATCATTTTAAACACACAAAGCATATTTGCTGAAACATGAAATACATTTTAAATAAAAATGTTTAATTTTATTTCTAATTTCCTATGTGCAATGTTCAGCATCCAAAGGGCAAAAACCGTGCATTAGTAGAAACATTCACTCTAATCCAGGAGTCAGGCTTCCCTTACTCATCTCCAAAGATGAGAAACAAACTAAAATATTTTGATTTATTAGGAAAAGTTACAGGAAAAACAAAGTAAGAGAGAAAAAGGAAGGAAGGAAGGAAGGAAGGAAGGAAGGGAATTTAAGATTTTAACAGCATTTTGTGAGAAAATTTCTCTAAGAAAATTAAGTTCAACCCACTGAAATAGTGAAAAACAAACACCATGGACTAGCATTGCAACAATACTGCGGTATACAACATACCATACTTATAGAAAAGAAGGGGCTCATTTGATTTTCTAAAATAATCAAAAAAGCAGGAATAGGATAGAGACACTGAAAATGCAATATGGAGAAGGCGGGATTCAAATTCATGATGAATCTTACCGGTGCCATCCGTATTGCTGGGTGTGCTCCACAACCCTGCACTGCTTTATGAAGTGTTTCACCAAACATGTTTCGAAGCTCAACTGAGTGACAGTATACAGCATCAATCTTAGGCCACCAATCCAATGCAGACTGTAGAAAAACAGAGACCATAAGAGACGAAAAGTAAAATTTGCATGAGTTATACATTCTGGTTAACACTGTAGCCTTATGTTTTATCCTTCTGTGAAAAACTTTCTAAGACCATGCAAACACACACCATGATTTCCAAAGTCTTCAAATAATATCTTTAATTCAAACACTAACCCATATTTATTTTAAAATATAATAATGAACATGAGACAAATTGCCACCTCATGTGCATGAGCATGAGACTGTCTTTTTTAACTGATAAGCTAATGAATCTGAAAAACAGTCTTTAGAGAGCTAATTCTGTAGCCAATCTTTTTTTAAGTTTAACATTTTATACATTTCAGAGACGTATGCACATATAGATAGTATATATTTTCCCACGTAAGAATGCTACTATCAAAGCTTTAAAAAAGATTAGTGGTTCAACACAATGTTGAAGGAACATGTGGCAAACCATCACTTATATGCCTACAAACAACAATGATAAGTACAACACAAAATTAGTAAATGAGATAAAACTATTAGTAAACCTATAATCTTAAATTGATATGCAATGATGGTACAATACACAAAAAGACTAATGATCACCAGAAAGACAAACGGATCATAGCTAAATAGATTTAAAGGTAATAATTTTATGTAAATATTTGTCTATTTCAGTCTCACCTGTTTAGTTTTGGTTCTAGTTTCTAGTGCCTATTTTATTTGAATAGTGCCTAATTCAACTTTAAAATTAATTACTATGTTATGAAAATCACTAAAGCTATAAAGTCTATCAGTTAATACAAAAATGGATGAATTTTCACTCCATATGGAGATTATACAAGGCATGGGACAACTTCAGACATAGGCTTCCAGCTTACTACACTCCCGGCTCCATAGGAAGCACCGGAAAGAATGACTGAACTAGCACAGGAAGAGGACTTAAGAGCATCACACCCTATTCCCAGGCTCCTTCTCATCCAAAATTAAGCTAAATTCTCAACTTCTGATTTCTTCACCCATAATTCTAAGAATATTCTAGGTAGCATCAAGTTATATTACCTTAACCTAAAATTAGATTATAAACTCTAAGTACTGGATAGTAAATTATACAATCAACTTAAAATACACAATTTGAATACTGAACTCTTACTTATAGGAAGGGCCCCCAAAAGCTGTGGGGGAAGAAATAAATTCTCTTTGGATAATGTGGTTGTTTCTGCTATTCCCCCAACTCTTACTTTATTTAAGCTAATTCCTAACAAACTATCAAATTTTAGTTTGGTTATATAATGGACTCTTTAAACTTTGGTCAATTTAGTCATTTGACTTGCCCAAGCAATCAACACAGCTTGATTTCCATATACTTACAAATTTATACAGCTTGTATTAATCAGCTTAAAATAACAAAGGCTGAATTATCACAAAATGCATTGAGATAAGGGTCCTACTACTCATTCTCCTGACCCCATAATATCTTGTCAGAAACTAATAACTAAAGAGAGATGCATCCCATATAACATCCTATCTAAACTATTATGCTATATCGATAGTTACTGAAATCATATCACCATACGAGATGCATCCTATAAAATAACATGATTTTAACTTAAGATTTAGTGATTGTCATAAGTGCCATTTTTCATAATATAAATATTCGTTTTAATGTAAAAGTTAAAGATACACTTTCAAATAAATTATGCACTAAAAACTAGGCATCATGTAGTTGGCAAAAATTATAGTGTTTTAAGCAGTTACTAAATGTGTCTCTTCTGAAACTAGTCAACTAAAGTAGACATTCCTTTTTTTCCCTCCTTGAAAACACTAAGTTTATTGCCAAACAAATGGCAATACTTTTACAAGTACATAGTATGAGCAAACTATGGCAATTCTTCAAGAGATTACTTAAATAAATTTTCAAGTGCCTTGGACAGAATTTATCCAAACTCTCAGGAGGAAGAGATCATGTCATTCTCAGTATGTGAGCTATCTATAAGGAAACTACAACTGCCATAAGGAAAAAACCAGAATACCAAGTACTGTACAGCTACAGCATGTCCCACTGATTGCTAAGATATCTGGGTCACATATGTGTATTACTATTTCTTTAATTTCCCAATTTTAACAACATACCTAATTTAACCTAAAGGAACCCAATAAATATTAAGTATGTAACACAGATCTTATAACTATAATTCATCTCTTATAGCATGCCATAATAAAAAAAGTGACAGTACTATGAGTACCATTTTCAAAGCTGACAGAAGTCTACAATATAATAAAATTCAAATAGTCAACAGATTTTCAGATTTCTTAGGAAGAAACAGAATATTTTAGATCTAAACGCTGTACTTATGAACTGAGTATGAATGTTTCCCAGAAAGAAAACAAAACTGCAAACCACTATCAATTCTAAATAAACCTCAAAAACATATCAAAAACTTTTATTTGACAATGTGACAGTAAGAAACAAAATCTGTGAATTTGGCTAAAGAACCATGGAAGAAAAGAACTTATGAGGTGTATTGAACCAAGAATCAATAAAAAGGAAATCTTACACTAAGAATAAATTAAGTTTAGGAGTCCAAATATCTAAGAAAAACTTCATGGGATTTCAAGACAAAGTATTTCCATAACGGTCTTCAGTGAGACTCTGTAATGGTCAATTCCATAAATCTGCATAGTTACTTTATGAATAGTCCTTTCAGTCAGAAAGTACTTCAGATTCAATATCTATTACCCTCAAACCATAGGAAAGAAAAAAACCAATCCTAACAAGAAACAATTTATCAAACATTCTATAATATAATAAAGTATCATCATTTAAAGTATAGCTTTAAGATACTTTACATACTCAAATTTATGCTTTTTGTCAAGCTATTCATTAAAGGTTACTGATGCTGAGTATTTTAAAACTTAGTCAATATAGGTTTTTCTTTATAAAAACAGACTTCTTATCGACGTGACCTCTGGTACAGACACACTCCACCTTCACACATGCAGTACTCATCAGAGTACAGAAGGATGCACAACCACTTCACCATATACACTGAGGCATGCATGAAGTACCACTCCAGGCATGCTTTAAACCCACAAAGGAGCAGCTCAGCCACTTACAGCAGTGCCAAGTCCATGCTTGAAAGTGCTCTATATATTCAATTGTAGACAAAAATATTTCACAATTAAAGTAACTAGCCACAAAGTATCAAAGAAGTATATACTTGGGTTTATTTAATACAAGTTTTAAGCATTTATGTAAAACCATCCACTGTAATAAATGGAATGCTTTTAGTATTATAAGTTAAAGGAGAAAAATAATAATATTTTAATTCTGAATTACACATAAACCTGAGGGGGGAAATCCTCTCTCTTTTTTTTTTTTTTCCCTTAAAATGGCCTTGAAAATAAACATTGAGGATACAATGTCTTGGTTCACTACCCTGGCAAAAGTAAAGTAAAAGTTTTTTTAATTTTTAATACAAACATACCTTATCTGCAATCAGATTCATTAAGCTTTCCCTTTTGGGGATAAATAACATCTCATGTTATTTATACCCATAATTTAACCCACGGATACTCAATTGAGCAACATATCATTCCCTCAACGCATATTATTGTTCATAATGTCTGGGGGTGGGAGGAGGGAAGTGGCCCAAATGGCATTTAATGAAATGAGGATCAGGGATACTAGGCGTCTTGCAATGCACAAGATAGTGCTGCACAACAAGGAATTGCCCTGCCCAAAATGCTACTAGCACCCCACTGAGAAAAACTAAATGTGTCACTACATAGATTTAGAGTTATTTTTCCCCTGCAGGAATGGATAAAAGAAGAGAAAACAGGAGCGCCTGGGTGGCTCAGTAGGTTAAGCGTCCGACTCTTGATTTCAGCTTGGGTCATGAGATGGAGCCCTGTGTTAGGCTCCGTGCTGCGCATAGAGCCTGCTTAAGATTCTCTCTTTGCCTCTGCCTCTACCCCTCCCTCTCTAAAAAACAGAAGAGAAGAGAAGAGAAGGGAAGAGGCAGAATTTGGTTTAATTAAACACATCCAAGGCAAATGAATGTGGGGAGGAATTTTTAACTCATCAGAGATACACTCTTAAAAATGGAATTTGAGGGCGCCTGGGTGGCTCAGATGGTTAAGTGTCTGCCTTCAGCTCAGGTCATGATCCCAGGG